AAACAATGCCACTCTGGGCCCAGATGTACTAAATGCGATTTCTTACAAGACGGCGTGGCCATGGATTCAGTAGGACGTTCACAACCTGATAACTCACTTCTACTCTTCTGCTCATCTTCCTGATCAGCTCAACCAAACTTATATCGCCCTAATTCCTAAAAAAGTCCATCCGATTATTCCTCAGGATTTTAGACCCATTAGTCTCTGTAATGTAATTTATAAAATCATAGCAAAATCTTTAGCCGATAGACTTAAACCTCATCTTCCTCATTCCATCAACTTGGCTCAGGCTGCTTTTATTAAAAATAGGCATATTTCTTCTAATATTATAATCACCCAAGAAATTATTCACTCTTTCAATTTAAAAAGCTGGAATCAGAAGGCTTTCATCCTTAAATTAGACCTTGCCAAAGCCTTTGATCGTCTTGAATGGGATTTTATTGAAGCCGCTCTTCGTTGTCAGGGGTACAAAGATAATTTCATTCGTCTTATCCATGCCTGCATCTCTACGCCGACGTTCTCTGTCTTGGTTAATGGTGAACCGTCTGTCGCTTTTCGATCTCAACGAGGAATCCGCCAAGGATGCCCTCTGTCACCATACCTTTTTGTCATTGCTATTAATGAACTATCTACTCGTCTGCAGGTTGAACTCCATAACAGAAACCTCTCAGGTATTTCTCTGGGTCCGGGTTGCCCGCCCATCCACTCTCATCTTTTTGCTGATGATTTGATCCTTTGTGGTCATGCCTCTGTGGACGAAGCTGCTACCATCAAATCTATTTTTGATCAATTTTCGCTGCTCTCGGGCCAGGTCCCTAACTTTCAGAAGTCTTCTATTCTTTTCAGCAAAAATGTTGATGATCAAGCCAAAAGCCACATCAAACATATCTTTCCTGTTTCTGATCTTTTACCTAATACTATGCACCCTGGTCATCCCATGATTTTCAATCACAGTGATAGAAATAAAGCCTATGAGTTCATCGTTAATAAATTTAGGGCCAAGCTTACTATTGTTAAGGCTAATAAACTCAACCATGCAGGAAGACTTACTTATATCAAATCTGTTCTTGCCTCTGTTCCTGTTTACTACATGTCCACAGTTCTCTTCTCCAAGACTTTTGTGGAGAAAATCAACGCGATCATTCGAAGATTCTGGTGGGCTGGCGTTCAGGATGACAACCCCTCCAACCCTATTGCGTTTCGTTCCTGGGAAGACATCTGCTAGCCGAAGGACAACGGTGGTCTTGGAATCAGAGATCTCTATACAGTTAATAAAAGCCTCATCACCCATGCTGCCTGGAACATTGTCACGAACAAAAACAGTTTCCTCACCAGTATCCTCGAGGCAAAATATTTTCCATGTAATTCTTTCTGGACTGCAAAAGCTGATGGTCCTCGGTCTGTCTTCTGGGCATCGATCCTACAGGTAAAGGACTTGGCTAATAACACCATCTATCAGATTCATGCTGGCAGTAGTTTTATTTGGTCCACACTTGGTGTCCAATATGGGAAAATATTCACGATCATCTAATATTGGCCCCGTTCGCTGGGAGGAATCTGGACGAATGCGTGTGAGGAATCATCCGGCTACAGTGTTTTTCCTCCGGCTACAGTGCTTTTAGTGTCAGCCGAACGAGGCCATTACCGGTTACTCAGTCTCCACTGCCAAGTGTGGTGTCGGATCTTTGGACTCCGAACACTCACTCTTGGAACATGGATCTTCTAATATTTTTGACCAGACTGGTGTGTAGATTATATCGCAGGTGAAGACGGTACACAGCCACCAGGCTGACACTCTCCGATGGACTCCGGCAAAAAGAGGTGATTGCACAACTAAGAATATTTACAGGCACTTAAGTACACAACTGCAGGTACAGCTGCCCCAGCAAGGTTCCAGGAGCATTACACCACAGGCAGATAAAATTCTACAGAGAATGTGGAAGCTCAGGGAACTACCACCACTCATCAAAACGTTTACTTGGAGGCTCATAAGACGGGCACTGGCGACGGGAGATAGAGCTGGCAGATATACTCCTCGCATTGATAAACACTGCAGTACCTGTGGACTAGTCGAAAATGATGCCCATCTGTTCTTCCATTGCGACTTCGCCCGTGCGGTATGGTTCTCAACTCAACCTCCTCTTCGCACAGATTCTTTGCCACAAGAGGATGATGGTGTCCAGCTTATTCTCTCCACTATTATTACTGACTCAATAGAAAACTCTTTAATGCAAAAAATACTTATAACTATGTGGTATATTTGGAAAGCGAGAAACGATAAACGATTTGCAAAAAAGAATTGGACCGCATGGCAGATACACCATGCAGTTGCTGCTTATATCACCACAATCAATTCAGACACAGGTGTACCAGACGAACAGCCCCAGCAAGCTAAGTCCCAATCCAACAGGGAACAAACTGATGGTGACACAGCCACCATGGCGACCACTCCATTGCTGCAACACCACAGCAGCCTGAGCAATTCAAGGCAAGGTATTACTTATACTTTTGCAGGCAATGATGCAATAGACACAATCACACAGCAGGAGCACATGAACCTGCAGCCTATGTATACTACAATGAATGCCACACGGTCAGGTATGAATTATTTCACTGCAGGAAATGGATCATCACCATCACAGGCGTACAGATACATGACAAGTCCAACACAAAGATTCAATGTTTCGCTTCCAGCATTGTTGGAAGGACCTCGATGCTACACAGATGCCTCCACTATGCCGGATCAGGTTCCGTCCACTCCAAGGAAGGCTGGAATTGGAATCTTCATTATCAATACCCAGATCCAGCTGACGCAAAATATCTACATCAAAGCAGCCATGTCCAGCTCAGTCTCAGTCCTGATGGCTGAGGCGGCAGCTATGTCTCTGGCGGCGGTCATTACGGATCGGCTACAGCTACAGCATACTAACTTCCTATCCGATAACCAGGACCTGGTTCAATTCTTCAATTCCGCTGACTACTCAAATCCTCCGGATTGGAGAATCAAGCATCTAACTCAAACCTTTGTCAACCACACTCAACACAGAAGTACAGGGACATTCAAGATTAACAGGAGTCTAAACCAAACTGCTCATACTCTTGCAAGGCAGGCGTTTCAGGAATGCCAATCCATGTACACACCTACTGCTGCTGCTTGTACTTGCTCCAACTTAGCTCATGTACATCAGTGCCCCTTAGCGGTGCTACTGCAGAATGTAACCATTGACTCTGTAATGGTCTTAACAGCTAGATGCTGTTGAAATGGAAAATCGTTTGTTGTAAAAAATATATATATATATCATGAACTGAATTTTTCTAGTTAAGAACTAAGTACAGAATTAATAAAGCATACCTGTCCAGCATAGACTAAAGCCAGTATTGCCCAAGCAGTGTTCACTGCATGAGCACGGTTACCTTTGATATTTTCATAAACCTGTTTTGTTTGACAATGAATAAAATATAAGTCAAGAGATGATAAATGCAGAAGCCCTTGCTATCCTAAAGAACTACTAGTATTGTATTAAAAATGAGCATGTAAAATACAAAAGAAATTATAAAAAAGCACGGTTGGAATAAGAAAGGTCCAAAAGAAATGACTAGCCGAAATCAAAAGAAAATGTCTCATATGCGGATTTCTTAGCAGCAATTTCAAAAAAAAAAAACTAATGATTAAACTGTGTCCTTACCATGCAACCAAAACGGAAGGACCTAATGAACTAGAGGGCATATTGATTACCTGAGTTCTAATGGAGACATGGCATCCACCAGTAATAAGCTGCTTTGACAATAGGAAGTGGCATGCATTCTTGATGGAAGAGCTATTCTCGTATGTTTTTCCAGCATCAACTAGTCCTTTAACGGAAAAGAAGGTTGAATAGGTGAAACATACACCCCAAGTGCCTAACCAGTAAAACAACTAAATGAGTTACTAATGTTAAAGTTTATTCCCTCCGTTTCAAATTGTAGGTTGTTTTACTTTTATCCTAAGTCAAACTTCTTTAACATTGACCAAGGTTATAGAAAAACGCACCAACATCTACAACATTTCTATAAACTTGGTCAAAAAAAAAGTTTGAAAATTTTGACCTAGGACAAAACTGAAACTACATATAATTTGGAAAAGAGGGAGGTAGAGACAATTCTTTAAGGTAAGACAACAGATATTGCATTATGACAAACCATGAGCCGTCTTCTTGTTTCCAAATCTAAAGTTTGAAAGGTTCAACTCTCAAGTGTTTAAATAAAACATATTTGAAATATACTTTGCAAAACTTATAAAAGGTAAACACTTTTCATGGGCCAAATCTCATTTGAAAACCCAGCCCAAAATTTCTTTTTCTTTTTGTTTCCTCTATTCAGCCCGGTCATTCTTTTCTTCGGGCCAAAAGGCAGCAGCCCACAAACCCCCTTCGCGCCTTCTTCGTTCCTCTGCATGGGCCTTGACCCATTCCCGGCCCAACAATCAGCCACTGAGCCACCCGCCTCCACCTCTCCAACCTGGTCCTGGCCACGTTTGCAGCAGCAGCACAGCCCACAACTGCCCCGCGCCCTCTCCCTCAGTCGCCGTACGGTTTTCTTGATTTGGATTTTTGGAATACGCAGCCACGGTAGTTTGCTGTATTTTTTTAGGAGTTTTTTTTTTTAGTTTGTTGTATTTCATCCCTGAACCTGAATGGAAGTCGCTTGAATCTCCAACCCAAGAGTCGGATCCCCTACCTCAGAGAACAGAGATGGTGGCAGACTGGCAGGCAGCAGCTTGGCGCCTTCGCCTTCGCCTTCGCCTACCACACTGCACTCGTAATCAGCTGGAGGGCAGTCTCGTCATTCCGGCAGCTCCTCCACCTGCCTTGCCTTGACCTTCCTATTCTCCCCCCACAAAGCACAGGGCCTTATCTGCTCTGCTGCTCTCTCCCTCCCCACCCGACGCGCCGCCTCCAATTCCAATCCGTGCTCTTGTGCCAAGTCAGGCAATCAAAGAGTCCAAAGATCCCAGCTTTCCCATGGCGGGCGGCGATCTCCCGCCTCCTCCTCCTCCCGAGGAGACGCCGGCGGCGGCGGCGGCCGAGGAGGACGAGGACCTGATCGAGATCGTGGAGGAAGGTTCGGGGCGGCTGGACATCTCCCGGTACGTGGACCACGTGCGGGACCTGTCGGCGGGCGCCATCGCGACGTTCGAGGGCACGACGCGGGACCACTTCGCGGGGCGGCTCGTGGTGGAGCTCCGGTACGAGGCGTACGCGGCCATGGCGCGGCGCCGTCTGGGCGCCATCCTGCGGGAGGCCCGGTCCCGGCACGCGCTGCGGCGGCTGGCCGTGGCGCACCGCCTGGGCCCGGTGCCCGCCGGGGAGGCCAGCGTGTTCGTGGCCGCCTCCGCCACGCACCGCGCCGACGCCATGGAGGCATGCCGCTACGTCATCGACGAGCTCAAGGCGTCCGTGCCCATCTGGAAGAAGGAGGTGTACGACGACGGCGAGGTCTGGAAGGAGAACCGCGAGTTCTTGGACCGCCACGCCGGCGACGCCCACGGCCATGGCAACGGCCACGGCTCGGCCGGTTGCTGCGGGAGCAAGGTCAGGGTCCAGGAGGCTTGATGCTGATGGATGGCGGCGCCCGGATTTCTCTCTCTTTCTGCATCGCGATCGCAATCCACGGGAGTGGGTGGGGTTTCATGAAATCCGCTGTACAACTCGATCTCCGTTGACTTTTTTCCCCAGTTTTATTGCTGAGAGAGACTACTGCTAGTACATCTTGAAGTTGAAAGGCAGATATATTGAGAAAAATCAGAAGTGATGAGGGAAAATAGTACAGTAAAGATTGTTTCTGAAGAATTCAAACAGTTTGTTGGCCAATCTAGATTCTATATTTCTATATGCCTTGTACCAACACAACGTGGCGAAAATAACAGAAATTGCTGTACTCTTTGAGGACCCTTAGAATGCAGGAATTTCACCGAAATTATATAGAAAACTTTATAGGAAAATTTTCTGGATTCCAAAGGGGCATAACTATGGAATTGCTGAAAGCCGAGAACTGCATATGCTGCATATGATGATATGAAGAGGTGTTGATGTTGTAGTCTGAATCTGAAACTTGACAGGAGTTGTAACTGAAACAGAAACACGAGTGGGTGGTACTGCGAGGAGGAGACGAAAATACAACAGAACAGTAAGGGGGGTGTTTGGTTCCTACAGAAAAATTTTAGTCCCTATCCCATTGAATATTTGATACATGCATGAAGTATTAAATATAGACGAAAAAAATAACTAATTGCACAGATTATGGCTAATTTGCGAGACGAATTTTTTAAGCCTAATTAGTCCATGATTTGACAATGTGGTGCTACAGTAAATATGTGCTAATGGCGGATTAATTAAGCTTAATAAATTCATCTCGTAAATTAGTCTCCATCTATGTAATTAGTTTTATAATTAACTTATATTTAGTTCTCCTAAATAGCATCCGAACATCTGATGTGACATGGACTAAAAATTTAGTCCATGAAACCAAACACCCCTTAAGAATAGTTCTAACGATTCCACGTTTGAGACGGCATAACGTCTTAACAATTTGAAACAGAGAGAGTACTACTTGCTGGACCTCTTCTCTTAACAATTTGGAACAGAGGAGAGAGTAGTAGTTTCTGGAACTCTTTGAGAAAGGGGCCTGAAACTGGACAAGACGAGGAAGAGGTGTTTAAATCTGGAATCTGAAACTGGACACAGGAGTTTGCTGTAATGGATGGAAACGAGCGAGTAAGTTAGATGATTACTTGCCTCTACTAGCCGTTTTCAATTATTCATTCACGTGTAATTCCTATTTCGAAATGGACTCAGCATCGAAGGTAGGAAGCTCCCTTTCCATAGATGTTATAAATCTGTATGAAACAATCAAACATCAAAGTGGCTGTAGTTCAGTGGTTAGAATTCCACGTTGTGGCCGTGAAGATCTGGGCTTGAATCTCAGCAGCCACAGTTGAAGTTTTAAATTTTTTTAGTCCTTTAGCAGCCACATTTCTCTTCTCAGTCCTTTAGCAGCCATATTTTTTAACATTTTTTCAGTCCTTTTTTTTTTATCTCATGTGCGCATGAGGTGGTGACATTTATTTAAAATTTAGCAGCCACATTTTATTTTTTTCAGTCTTTTTTTTTGTCTCATGTGCGCAGGAGGAGGTGAGATTTTTTTCCCAGTCCTTTAGCAGCAACAACTATTCATTTTATTTATTATTTTTCAGTCCTTTTTTCTTGTCACTCATGTGCGCAGGAGGTGACAAAGGTGAGGAGTTCTGCGCAGCCACCTTTTTGAATTCCGTTTGAACTATACTTAAAATCCTTATAAAATACTCCGCTCTGTTCCAAATTATAAGACACGATTTGGATTTTCTAAATACGTTGCTTTTATTGTGTATTTAGACATAGTATATATCTAAATACATAGAGAAAAACTATTTATGTATAAAAGCTAAAACGTCGTATAAATTGAAACGGAGGGAGTAATTTTGAAGGTCAAAGTTCTCTCTTTTAGAGACCTTTTCAAACTTAACTTTCAAACCTTACTTTGCAAACCCATTCAAGGTTTTTTCCTTTTCTTTTATTTTTCTTTTTTTCTATAAAAATAAAGTGTCAGTGCAGAAAGTGACCAACACGTAAATATTTGTAGTTTTGTCGTACGTTGTGATCGGATGTGGCCTAGCACTCATGACACAGGGTTTATACCGGTTCAGGCAACGTGCCCTATATCCAGTTTGAGTCGGTCGGTGACTTTATTCCTAAGCCCAGGTGCTCGAAGTTTGCTGTGGGGTTACAAACGAGAGAGAGAAAGATAGAGGGTGCAAGAAGTCCAGTCGGACTCCGGACTGAAGGGCCGAGAGTGACGGGAGCTCCTACGTGCGCTAAGTATTCGAGCGTGTGCTCTGTGTAGCTTTAGAATGTCTAAAGCTAGCAGAGGGTGAATCGATCGTTGGTTGTTCCAATTGCTCGAGAGTCGTTGGAGTGTTGTTGATTGATCCTCCTCTATTAGGAAAGAGCGCATCCCCTTTTATAGATGAAGGGGACGACCTTACAGGCGAGAGAGAGAGAGAGTACGTCTACTAAATCTTGTTGCCCACGTCGTCGGGTACAAGATGATTGTAGGCACCCATAACACTGTTTGTGCCAGACGCATGTGGGAGGTTTTACCGCATTCGCCATGTATGGCAAATGACGGTGCCCACAACACTGTCGATGCCCAGAGGTATGTGGGGGGTTTTACCGTGTTCGCCTGGTATGGGAATAGATGGCGCCCACAACACTGTAGGGTAAACGTCGGCGCCCACAACACTGCTTGGGTTCTGATATGCCTGGAAGGTTCCAGGGCACCCTTCTGACATGTCCTGTTGGTAATGTCCTGCAGGTGTGCAGAGTACGGTTCTTGGTATTGCGTTTGACTTGAGCGCTCTGCCCTACTTGCTCTGCCCGTTTTCTGGGTCCTCACCGAGCGGGCGTCCCCGGTCGGTTGGTATCAGTCGGCTCTGACTGTGCCAGTCGGAGAAGGATGTAAGCAGAGGTTCGGTGCATCTCCGGTCAGAGACGCGGGTCGAAGTTAGAAATGGCGTTGGCCAGGCCTTCCAGTCGGAGAAGCGGGTCGGAGTCAGAAACGAGCGACGTTCCTCCTTGACCAGGCCTTCCGGTCGGAGAGGCGGGCCGGAGTCGGAAGCGAGCGTTGTTCCTCCTAGCCAGGCCTTCCGGTCGGATATTGGATCACCCTTCTGGCATGTCGTTAGGTATTTTAGACCGGCCTAGGAGTTGCGCGTCGTTCGCAATGTCATCTGCTAGGCAGAGCTTTTGCTGGAAAGCAGGTCCATGAGGGACCCCGGGTTTATGAACCCAACAGGAGCCCCCGAGCCCCCGGGCGATTCGGGTAGAATCGTCTAGGGGATTTTTATCTTGACAGCGGGTGCGCGCGAGCGCACTTGCGGGTGTAGCCCCCGAGCCCCCGAGTGATTTGGGAAGAATCGCTTAGGGGGGTTTTCGTATTGCCAGCGGGGGAATTTTTTGCTTCGTCAGTGGGTGCGCGCGAGCGCACCCGCGGGTGTAGCCCCCGAGCCCCCGGGTGATTCGGGCAGAATTGCCTGGGGGGTTTTGTCAGCGGGCGTGAGTGTATGCACCTTGGTGGGCGTAGCCTCCTCTTCTCAGTTTCTGATCCATCATTTCCAGGAGCATGGTCCTAGGCGTTTGGTCACGGCCGAGGGACTGGGCAAGACAGAGTCATCAACCAGGGCGTTGGGCGTGCCAAGGGGTAGCCGACGGATCGGGTGAGATAGACTCGTGGACCAAGGCATCGGGCGCAGCCGAGGGATAGCCGGGGATCGGGTGAGATGGACTCGCGGACCAAGGCGTCGGGTGCAGCTGAGGGATCGGGCATGATGGACTTGCGGACCGGGGCGTCGGGTGTAGCCGAGGGACAGCCGAGGGATCGGGTGAGACGGAGTCATGGACACAGGCATCGGATGGGCCAAGGGATCGGGCGAGTCAGAGTCATGGATCCAGGCATCGGATGGGCCGAGGGATCGGGCGAGTCGGAGTTGCGGATCTAGGCGTCGGACGGGTCGAGGGATCGGGCGAGTCAAAGTCACGGATCCAGGCGTCGGGCGCAACGCGGGGTCGAGAGAGTCGCGAATCCGCGCATCAGGCGCAACGAGGGATCGGGCGAGTTGGAGTCGTGGATCGAGGCGCTGGGCGCAACGAGGGATCAGGCGAGTCGGAGTCGAGGATCCAGGCGCTGGGCGCAACGAGGGATCGGGCGAGTCAGAGTCAGGGATCCAGGCGCTTGGCGCAACGAGGGATCGGGCGAGTCGGAGTCGGTAATCTAGGCGCTGGGCGTAACGAGGGATTGGGCAAGTCAGAGTCAAGGATCCAGGCGCTGGGCATAGCCGAGGTCGTGCCGAGGTGTTTGGGCGTCCTGAGCCTTGTGAGTTTTTGTGCGTTACCCCGTCTGTAGTTTTTGCAACCGGAGGGGCTGAGCTAACGTCGCTTGCCTCGATGGTTCAAGTGACGCGCTCGGTGAGCTTGCTAACAGGCATGTTCGAGTGAAATCCAGGTCCGTCATTCATGACGGGGTCGGCATAGCCCTCATGTGGCATTCCACTGCTCCTTAACCCGTGTCCCGGTAGATGCCTAGGTTGTTACGGAGACCGACCCGGGTGGCCCGCTGGCCTCCCCTCGATGGAGATTCTGTGGGCATGGCTCGAGGTTAGGATCGAATGAGAAGGTTAAGATGACCCTGTCTGCTTTGAAGCAGACTAGGCGAGGGCTGCTGGGGCTCATCTGCGTTTTCTCCCCTAGCTCTGTTTGACGCGAGGCAGCCTCGAGCCCTTTGTGGGCCAGCCTTCAAACCCCGGTCGGTCGTTGCTCATGTTGAATGAGGCAACTACCGCTTTGTGACCCAACACGGAGCGTTGTGGTGCATTTAACTGCATATGCGATGCTTTGGATGTATGGGATGAATGAATGCGTGTATGGATGAAATGTGTGAATGCATGCATGAATGTATGAATGACAGCAGATGAATGAATGATCATATAAAGAAATAGTGGGGGTTGGTAATGTTACCTTGA